TTATAATTTTATTTAATAATATAACTATAATATTACAAATTTAATTTTGTGAAAAAAAACTTTTCTATTCTAATATTTGGCTGGCAGAAGGGGATTGGACAGACGGTTAAAAGTAGGGTGAGAAGTTTAACACGGAAAATTAACTGTGAGGAAAAAGGGGCCGAAATTAGCGTCCCCATATAAACCGACATGAACGATCCAAACAGCAAAGATGATAGCAGCCTCTCACCCACTTCCCCCGTCCAGCCTTCCTCAGTACGAACGCGAGAAGAGGAGAAGAAATTCGATAAAAAAAAGAAAGAAAGAAAAGAAGAACCGTCGGATTACGGAGATTCAGATGAATTAATGAGACGGAGAAGAAAGAGGCGCTGTTCCTGGGGATCTGCGGTTGCTTTTAGCCATGAAGGATCGTAGGCGACGCTACGACGTCACCTGGAGCCGCTTCTTCTGGTTCACCGTCGTCCTCGTCTTCCTCTCTTGCGTCCTCCTCACCTTCTCCACTTCCCGTCTCCTCTTCCGTGGTAAATTCCATTCCCCCCCCCCTTCTCCTTTTCCTTTATTTTAGCTGTTATAATTAATTAATTAATCTTGATTAACAACGGGATTAATGGTTTTTTTAAGTCTTAAACTTTCAATTCATTACTCTTAAAGCAGAGTCGTTTCATCCAGTGCTGGGCTCCACGCGTCGTACTTCAGCCATAAAAGCAATCTCCGGTGATTCTCCGGTGACTCCGGTGCTGTCGATTCGTGAGACGGTTGCGTTTCCAGATCAGGTAATTATTTTCCTAAATTACCCTCCATCGGCACGCTTATTTACCAAGGAGGAACTCGACTGCGTCTACCTCTCGGCTAATTCGTCCCAGCCGAGGCTCAAGCAGCCGCCGGCTCAAACGGACGGGGAGTCTCTCGATGACCAGATCGTTCGGTGTCCGATCGGTCCACGTGGCTTGTCGGTATCCCTTGCTATAAAGTCGGATGTCCGGGTCCCACCTGGTCCCACTCATAGGTGGGACTCACTCGCTTACGAGGCATTGATCGACGGTGACAACACCACGATCGTGTTCGCGAAGGGACTCAATCTACGGCCAGCACGAATCTACAATGCATCGAGATTCGAGTGCGTCTACGGCTGGGATTTCAGGAGATCCAAGAGATTAATCAGATCGGACGCTTTATCAGCTGCGCAGGAGATCGTACGGTGCAAAACCCCTCTAAGTATACTGAACAGTCAACGCAAGGTCAACGATTCCATCAAGGTTTCAGTTAGAGTCAAAGGCAGGGGAATACTACACTCTGCAGCCCGACTGCGCCTGGGTCGTCCCACAGATCCGAATCCTGACCCGGTTACCCGAAAACCGTACGAAATGTGCATATGTACCATGGTGCTTAACCAAGCTAAGTTTTTGAAGGAATGGGTCATGTACCATGCTCGGATTGGGGTACAACGTTGGTACATTTACGACAACAACAGCGACGACGACACCGACGGCGTAATCAAGTGGTTGTTAGATGCTAATTACAATGTTTCCCGGCATGTATGGCCATGGATTAAGACACAGGAGGCGGGGTTTGCCCATTGTGCCTTGAGGGCTAGGGACTCTTGTCTTTGGGTTGGCTTCATTGACGTTGATGAATTTTTTCACTTAAAATCCGGGTTAATGTTTCACGATGTGCTACAGAATGTGAGTTTAAGGTACAATGGTGTCAGTTCTTTGGGCAATTCAAGAAAGAAGTATGGAAATATTGGTGAAATTCGGGTCTCATGTTATAGTTTCGGGCCATCAGGGCACAAACATGTGCCGGTACAAGGGGTAACGGTAGGCTACACATGCCGGATATTGGCACCGGAGAGGCACAAGAGTATAATTAGGCCGGAGGCGTTGAACTCTAGCTTGATCAATGTGGTGCACCATTTTCATCTTAGGGATGGATTTCGGTTCTTGAACATGAACAAAGGTGTGATGGTGGTGAACCACTATAAGTACCAAGTATGGGAAGTGTTCAAGGAGAAGTTCCATAGAAGAGTGGCAACTTATGTGGTAGATTGGTTAGATGAACGCAATGTAAGGTCCAAGGATCGAGCACCGGGGCTTGGGAACAGAGCTATTGAGCCTCAAGATTGGTCAAACCGATTCTGTGAGGTTCAAGACACAGGGCTTAGGGATAGGGTGTTGCAGAACTTTGTTAGCCCAGGAAACCACCTTTTGCCATGGCAGGAGGGATATGAATATGAAGAAGCGAAGGCAGAGAATATTGTGGTAAAAGTAAAGAATAGGAGGAGGAGTAGGAGAAGGCATAGAACTAAACCGTAGAATACAAAAGCTTTGTTGTTTTCTTTCTCTTTTCTCATTTATTCATGCTGCACCATTATTATGTATATAATTTTAGTGGGTCGAATTAATTCATTTTTGTGGGAATACTTGATAACATAAATCTTATTTTCTTTCACCTGATACACTCGCTTAGGAAAGTCCTAGTTTTATCTGTTGTTATTTTTATTTTATTTTGAGATATAAACTTGTCAATAATTTAAATAGATCATTAATTATTTTTTTTCGTTATAAGTAAAAAATTTTAAATTTGAATATAATGAGAAATAGTTATTTTTTATTATGCAACTAAAATAATATATATATAAACTTAAAATATTAAATTTAAAGTTCCAAGTTTCTATCATACTTACATCTTTAAAGTTTTGTATTGATTTTAAATAATTCGAATAACAATCAAATACTTATATTTTTCTTTATAAAAAATTTTAAAAAAAATTATTTATACATGAATTTTATATATTATATTTATATTACTTTTATATACAATATTAAAGTAAAGAGTGATGTTAAAAAAATTCAGACAAATTTTGTTACTAAAACACTTTCCAGACAAAAAAATGTTTCTTGCAATTTACACTGACAAATTAATTTATTATTGTATGGACAACCATAATTCTTAAATTTGAAACGTGGACGTTAAGTCACATTCAGATAAGGACAATATTTTTGGTATCAATAGATGTCAACGACTTTGGTTTAGATATTTAAAATGACAGAAAGGATAAAATTAATATTTTTATTTTTAATACTAACATTTTAATGGCAACAAGACCCAATTTCTAGAGTCCTCTGCAAATTATGTCCATTTTTGTTAGGAGGTGCTATAGGAATAGTTTTTTTTATATAATTTTTTATATTATTAATAAATATATATTTAATATCATAAATTTTATGTAAATTAAAAAAATTAATTATTTAAATGATTAATCAAATTATATAAAAAAATGATATAAAAAAATTATTTTAAAATTATTGTTTTATTTTTTTAGTATTAATTTTTTATAACCATTTTAACATTTATTTTTATTTAAAAGATTTGAATTCAAAATTTTACTTTAAAAATAATATATTTTCTTTTACTGAGATTAATAAATTATTAATATAAATTGAGGTTAGTGCTTGTTAGTCTTACTTTCAAAAAATTAATAGAAAAAAGAATAAAAATCACCTTAATGTATGCTTTAAAAATATAATAGTTTAGTCTTTTCAATAAAAATTTATTGAAATGATGTAATTTTGAGATAATTTTTCTCCTAATTTTTAAAAAATAAGGCTGATAG